CCGGGAGGGGGTGATCAGGGGACAGGGAGCAGGGGGGTTGGATGGGTCGGGGTTTCTGTGGGGGGCAGTCGGAGGGAGTGGATGGGGGCAGGGTGGGGCTACCCTCCCTCCCCGTGGAGTGTCCTATTTTTTGAATGTTAAAATATGGAATCCCTACTCACAGCGCAGCTCTCCATTCATAGCAGGCTGCAGCATGAGGTCTCAGCTTCCTCACTCCCTCCCCCTTTCCTGTTGGTAGTGACCAAGGGAATGCTGGGAAATGTAGTTCTTTCCCTGCTCCAGGGCTGGCTCTATAGGCAGGGAGCTAAGCAAGGAACTACAGCTCCCAGGGCCCCCTGTTGGTTCTCAACTCCCATGCTGGATCTCTGCCGCCCCTGCAAATGGGCTGCCCCAAGCACGTGCTTGCTTTGCTGGTGTCTAGAGCCGCCCCTGCCCAGAACCCCCGACCCATCCAAACCCCCTTGCTCCATGTCCCCTGACTGCCCCCCGGGACCTCCTGCCCCTTCTCCAACCCCCCAGCCTCCTTACCATGCCACTCAGGCCAGCGTGTCTGGCTCCACGTGGAGCCAGACACGCTGCTGCAGACACGCTGCCACGCTTCTCCGCGGAGCACACAGCCTCGCCCCCCCCAGAGCGCTGCCGGCACGGCACGCTGAGGTTGCAGGGGCGGGGGGAATAGGGGCGGGGCTCTGGCTGCTGGAGGCCCCAATGCGAGCGGCTCAATCTGGCCCGGCCAGTCTGTCAGTCGCGTCACGCTCTGCATTGGGAGGGAAATCCCGGACCTTTTTAGATTTTTACAAAGTCCTCCCGGATGGCTATTTAAAACCCCCAGATCCAGACATGTCCGAGATAATCCGGATGTATGGTAACCCTAACTGAAACTTGTTCATTGACATGAGAGTAGTTGCTTCTTGACACAAGGAGAGCAGGCATTAGTTTGCAGAGAAGTGATAATTTTGTTTTCTGTGGCTTGGGATGAATTTGAAGTTGAATAGCAGTGGTGGCTCTGCCAAACCACATCCAGAAAGAAATTGGTCATCTTTTTTATTTTTTCCTTTTGATTGATATTTTGGGAACAGACTCCCTTTGAGTCCTTATGTCTATTTTTCTCCTGCCTCCATGTTTGTTACCATCCAGTATTTCACTTGCTCAGAAACGGAGAGCAGGAAATCCCTCTTATGGGTTGCTCTTCAACAGCCTTGCAGGGCTCATGAGCCACTGATTGGAAAGTATTGTTAAGAGATGCCAATGCCAGAACCTCTGACATTTTGGTGCATCAGATAAAATGGGACCCAGATCCAAACCACATCTGGGTTTGCTTTTGCTTTTTGCAAAACCAAAACCCTTTTTCACAAGCTGATGTCTAGTTGGCCATGATGAGTGAGCAGGGGATGAAGGCAGAGAATTCCTGAGGGGACATTATACAGAGCCTTGAAGATCAGGACGAGAAGCTTGAATTTGATGAAATGGAGGAGAGGAAGGTAGTGGAGGAATCTAAAGAGAGTGGAATAACATGGTCAGAAGGGTGCGCAGGGTAGATTGTTGTCCTAAACTGTAGGGAACAAAACAAATACACTTGTCTTACTATCATTATTGTTATTTATTAATCGTTAATTTCTAGATTAAGGTACAAAATTATCGTGATGGACCTGGAACTCACTGAGGTTTGTTAAGACACTTGGTGAAGATTTCACCAAGTCTTTCCCACACTCTGGCTTCCGCCACACTTTTATTGTATCAAAACCAAAGGAGCTGAGGAAGTGTTATCCTATCTGACATGGGTAACTGCATGGAGACTAGAATTAGGCCTGCAGCAAGCTCATATCTGGATCCTTAGTTCCCCAGAGTTCAAGTAGATTTAGATCTTCTGTCCGGTTCAGGCACATCTCTAATTCTGCCCCCTTGGAATTGCTGATAACTAGGGGACTAATTCTTACTCAGGTTCCTGTTGATTTTAATAGAATTTCTTGCAAAGCAAGGCACTGTTCAGGCCTGAGAATGAGGCCCTCAGAACTGCAACCTGAGCAGAAATAATTAAACCAGCGGTTCTCAAACTGTGGGTTGGGACCCCAGAGTGGGTCGTGACCCCATTTTAATGGGGCCACCAGGGCTGGCGTTAGGCTTGCTTGAGCCCAGGGCTGAAGCCAAAGTCCAAGCTCTACCACGTAGGGCTGAAGCCGAAGCCCAAGGGCTTCAGTCCTGGGTGGCGGCGCTCAGGCTTTGGCTTCAGTCCTGGGCGGCAGGGCTCAGGTTACAGACCCTCCTCCTCCGCCCAGGGCTGAAGCCCTCAAGTTTCGGCTTTGGCCCCACTGCCCCTGGGTGGCTTCAGTCCCCCTTCCTGGGGTTGTGTAGTAATTTTTGTTGTCAGAAGGGTGTCATGGTGCACTGAAGTTTGAAAAACCCTGAATTAAACATTTACAAATCTTTCCACATTATGTAAAAACCAAGCACCTGTGGCATCGCTGCTGAGAAGAAAATGCCACATCAGCTCCACACAGGAGCATTTTAAAAATTCAGGCCCTTCTCCCTGATCCAGCCACGAATGAGCTAATCAGCTGGAAAGTTCCCTTTCCAGTCATTGTTGAACAGCAGGAGAAGGGACTGCGGGACAACGAGTTAATCAGCCCTGTGAGAGTATTTATCTGGCAAGCCAAGCTGGTTGCTGTGACATGCAAGGACACACAAGACCATAGGAGCTTTCACATAAATTTTCAGTCCCCAGCTGCATTCACTTTAACTCTTTTCACTCAAGGAGACTATGGACTGAAATCTCCCTCAAACCCTTTTCTTTGTTGTTTTTACTTCTCTCCCCCTCCCATGTGTGTCTCTCTCTCTGTTATTTAATCTTCATGATGAGGCAGCACTGACTGTGCTTGATTAAGATCAGTGTCCTGATAAGAACTGAAACACGGTTTCCACAGTCAAACAAACACTTTAAGATAATTCATTGACCCTGAAGCCATGCTTAGAAGAGCCAGGAGAGGCACTCTAAGTGCTAAGAGTTCCCAGTGCACAGAGAGCTTCCAGAAATATGAAAATGTTCAGCTGTGTGTCTTAGTGTTATACAGCCCGATTCTAATTTCACAGTGGTGTAAATCAGGAATATCTCCACTGAAGTCTGTGGAGTTACACTGGAGTAAAACTACGGTAAGTGAGAAGAGAATCATGCCCTTTGTTATAAATTATTCTGCATATCAGATCAAATATTCTGCTGACTCCATTGTCAAAGGCATTACTCTGGATGTCCCCTGGGGTAACGGAGAGAAGAATCTGGCCTAGTTTGTTGCTTCTGTTTGCAGTGCAGTTTACATCTCATGAAAGAACAGGATGGGTTTGTCATAAAGATCTGGGCTTAGAATCAGACCAATTTCTGAGCCATCACACCAAGTGAGAAGAAAAGTGGGGGATGACACAGGATGGATGACTTTTAAAAATCATTTTTCAGTTTCACTTGGATCTTTAAATTCAGGGATTCTGCTTTGGCTACTCCTGCTCTAATGCCTCTTACAACCCTTTATAGCCCCCCACCCTCATTCACACATGCACACACACACTCTCACACTGTCTCTCTCACGTGCACGCACACATCTGAAATGCCTATGTGCATAGGAGACCACTGTAAAGTGAAATCTCTGCAGGGGCTTATAGAAATGTGCACCGCAATTTACAAGACATTTTGCTTTCTGCTGACAAGAGGGGGTCTTGCAGGAAGCTTTGCCATTGTACAGTTCAGTATATCTTTTGAGTGTCCCTCTGGCACTTTCCTCTAGCACTTAAGTGACTATAATAATGGCACTGTAGTTACAGCCCCAGAGTGGCACCTGATGAGAGCATATGGTTTTGCTTTTGATTTACAAACAATTTTTTTACTGTGCAAAGTGAAGAGTCCCAGTTTGACAGCCGTGTCACGGGGAGACGGAAGTCCTCTATATAACCGCTGAACAGGTACTGAAGGGGAAGCAGCCCTGCAAGACGAGGCGAGAAAGTTGTTCAATTTTCATTCCCATTTGGTCTTAGACTGAGATCACCAGCAAGGGTGCCAGTTAGTGCTGATAGTGGTGGGGACAGCTGTCTGCTGGGAACTGGACTGAGGCGACCATCTTGTTGCTATCACACAGCCATCAGATGGTATTGATTTTTGGTCACCACCTTCCTGGGTTGGACTTAAACTGGTGACCCAGAGGTAAAAGGTTAGGGTCACATTCCCGGTTCTACGAGCCATGCAGTCTCCCCGACAGCATGGGGTCAGCTTGTGTTTTCACTTTGTTTAGTAGGCTTCAGGCTGACTTTAAGGTATGACTGAAGAGGACTTTTTCATGACTTTTCAGTGTTTCCTTCTGTCTCTGTGATAAGAATGCTCAACATGTTCTCAGCAAAGTTTCCCATTAACCTTTCTTTGTTTTCTTGTCTTCTAAATTACAGAGCACCACTGACTGTCCACGGATTGTACCTGCCTCGCTAGAACCGATGCCCACGGGGGCTTCTCAGGACATCATGATCTCACTGGCTAATGGTGCTTTCTCCAAGGTAATTGAATTTGTAGGCAAAGCAAAAAGGTTCAAATGAGCTAATCAGGTGATCCTACTGTGGCACATAACAAGTCCAAGAGCCAGACTACTGGATTCTGCTGAGGGAGTGCCACCCTCTGCCCATACAGGAGTGAAGTCCCAGATCCTCAAAGGTATTTAGGCACCTAACGCCCATTAAAATCTAGTCCTAAGCAGCTTACCCATTTCCACCTTCATTAAATGCAGAGCTAGCTGTACTAGCAGAGGACATTCATGAAAAGTAGCCACCTGGGTGGGTAGGTTGAAATAGAAAAAGCAAAGGGAAAATTCAGCTTGCATACGGACGTTCTCTAGGGACCTATTACAGTTAATGCCAGACCTTTCATGGCATGCGTGCAGTATGTGGATTTATGCACATTGTAAAATATCCACTAGAACAAAATGTTTGGGGGAAATAAAATTCACACTTTTGGTGGATATGTTTTCCATGTTCCATCCTGTGAGCGTGCAGGTGTCTGGCTCTCACGAGGGAATGCTCACCAAGCAGTGCGCTGGGCAATCCCCAGGGCCTTGCTTCTGGAAAAGAAAGAAACACCGTTAAAAGGGAAAGCTAGCATGAAGACCAAGTTAAGTCCAGAAATATAGGCAGAAAGCCCCGCACTAACCAGACCGGCACAGAAATATATTTTAACTTTACTTTAAAAAAATGATGTCCCTTTCTGTGAAATCCTTTGGCATGTAGGTGGTTGCATGGGGCAAATGCAAATCATAGCAGTGTCCACAGAGTGATGCATTCTGGGATGTGTTTTAGAAGCCAGGAAGGGACAGAGGAAATAACAGAGGGGTGGGGAAATATAATAAATGCTGGTATTTATGGAAAACTGTCTTGTGTTGTTTTGAGTCAGGTTCTCAAACCTTCATGTGCAATTGTGGGCCTAATTCATCTACGCAGTTACCACAAAAGCAGATGCCAAATGGGGAAATGTGCACACCAATGACCACTTATCTTGTCTTTTATTCAGAGTGATGAGCAGATCTTGGGCATGTCTTCAGGCGTAAAGGGCTTGGGCTGCAGGCAAGCAGGATCAGGCTGTAGGGCTGTGATGTTAACAAAGCTTCGGGAAAACCTTCTTCTGTACATTACACCAGCAAAGAAAACTGTTCTCTGCTGTAACTTGGTTGCAGTTTCCTGTCTAAGGTCTGGCATTTGTAAATAAGGATGTGCCCCTGTATTGTCAGCAAAATGGGAGAAAATCCGGCTTCCTCTGTGGAGCCACAAGGTGGCTAAAGAGGAAGACATAGCACATGTAACCTGATCAGCAATGGAGTAAACAGGAAGGTTACTGAGGCACCTCAATTCCCAGAGGGCAGCCCAGACGACTACCTTGCAGTTTGATTTCCTCACTCCTCCAGTCTGTAAAATCCTCCTGGAGCAGCAGAGCAAGATTAGTTCTGCTGCATTTCTCAGGAGAAGCTCTGTAACTCATGATCATTCCCAGCACAGAGGGGATCCAGGAAGCGAGATCCATTGCTGCTGCTATTGAGACTGCTAATGTGTTAACGAAAGAGGGAGAGGGCATGGATCAGTTTAAAGAGCATACGTTACAGCAGGGGTTGGCAACCTTTCAGAAGTGGTGTGCCGAGTCTTCATTTATTCACTCTAATTTAAGGTTTCGCGTGCCAGTAATACATTTTAACGTTTTTAGAAGGTCTCTTTCTATAAGTCTATAATATATAACTAAACTATGGTTATATGTAAAGTAAATAAGGTTTTTAAAATGTTTAAGAAGCTTCATTAAAAATTAAATTAAAATGCAGAGCCCCCCAGACCGGTGGCCAGGACCCGGGCAGTGTGAGTGCCACTGAAAATCAGCTCGCGTGCCGCCTTTAGCACACGTGCCATAGGTTGCCTACCCCTGCGTTACAGATTGGTGTAATGATTAACAGTGAAAGGATTTCAGCCTCGCTCTTGCTGCCGCACGTGTGCTGTGTGAGTCAGTTGGCTCCTGCCATGAATCAGGAGCTTCTTTCACGTTTCAGGCTGTTTTATCAAATCTGTGCGGTGGTTTTTAGGGTATATTTAGTGCTCATTAAAAGTGCTGCACTGAGCCTCGGAGACGGGATTTATTCACACAGGATGTGTGCACTAGGAAGACCGGGAGCAGAATTTGGTCTCTGCTGTTATTAGTAACATAGTGTAGGGAAATTTATTTTTGAAAAATACTGTGTGCCAGATCCTTAACTGTACCATAGCTCTGCTCAGCACAGTTGACACTAGGGGGACAAAAGTGGCTTTAAGCCCAGATGACTGGTCACATTACAGTTCAGCTTAACCAAGACAGCTAGAGACCAGTTTGGCTCTTGCTGTTACTTAGAACAGCCTCAGAGCAACTCTAAATTCCACCCTTATAAAAGCCCCCTACAAGTCATTGTGCTGGCTGAGGATCTCCAGAGTACTATACACTTTGGCCATGCCACCTCCCACCCCTACTCAAGCCGTGGATTCCCTCAGTCCAAGGGAAATCTTCAGTTGTCCTGCCAGAGCAGCTTTCCTGTAGCAGACAGGGGCCAGGATCTGTCCCTTGTGTGATGTTTAACATGGTGGCGATTAAGTGGTTACTCCCTTTGTTATTTATGATTAACCAGGGTTAATCAGGATCTGTAATCCCAAAATTCAAACCTTTGGGTCCTATTCCAATCTCTGAGTAAGTTATCCCATTGGTAACTCCACTGATCTATAGAGTTGCTTCTGATGTTCACAGGAGAAAGAGGTCAGAATCAAGCCCTGCAGCTCCATTCATCTCTGATTCTGGTGGAAAAAATAGAAAAGTATATTGTTGCAAAAACTCTCTCCTCTTGTTTCTAGGATACTGTTCTGGAATGTCATTTTGGAACTGACAGGACGTTTGAAGCCAGATGGGTGAACACCTCCACCGTTCAGTGCAGCGGTGTCCTGGTAAGTATCTGGGCAGAGGGTCTGCAAACAGGGGCATTTGGATAGAGCCCATCTCACCCCTCCAGCTCCCTAACATACAACAAATAAAACACCCCTCCCCCGCAAACAATGCGGAACTGGAAAGGAAACAAAGCGGCTTTTAGCATTGCCAGAAAGATGCCCCAGAGTGCTCTTTGCATATGCTGATGGCTGGGGAGAGCATTCCAAAGTCACAGGCACTCTGCTTCCTGTCTTCTCTGCATTATCCCATGGGGCTGTCTAACAGCTCTCACCCCACCCAGTCTCCGCGTTAGTACATTAGTTCCCAGCATGTCCCAATACACTTCACTGGCCTCGTTTAGAGAGTTCCTATTACAGGGTTCATCTAATCCTGTTGCTTCTAATCTGCCCATAGGCAATGCTCAGTATTGCAGGAAAGAGCATTTTGTCACTTGGGGCTCAATCTTGCAAGGTGCTGAGTCCCCTCAACTCCTGTTGGTGTCAGGTGTTCATTAGAGATGAGGACCCTCAACATCTTGCAGAATTGAGCCTTTACAAGGCCTAATCATGCCCCCACTGCAGTCCATGGCAAAAATCCCCTTAGCCTCAGTGGGAGCAGGCTTTCGCCCTGTATCCGCTGAACATATGTCAGAGATTTGTGGAGAGACTGTATCAGCTATGGGGATGGTGGGGAATTTATAATAACCGTGAAGAAAAAGATGCTGTAGCTGTAGCCTGAAGAATAATCCCTTATTTACATACATTGATCTCAGTATCCGTTAGTAATGTCTCCAAAATATTCAAGTTCCCGTAGTGTCACTATAGAGTTAGGTGCTACCCCTGCAGAACAGGGTTCTGATGGAAACATTTTAAAAAGAAGGTTGAGGGAAAACTTTTCCCTTAGTCATATATTTTGGTGGAACATTTTAAAATATGTAGACAGGGCAGCCTGCTACATTTTCTTACTCATTTCCACTTAGAGATCAGCAGATACAGGCCCCTGTGTTAAATAATACCTCCACAATGGATGGTTCTGCTTTTGCTGAGGTCTCCGTGAAAATAATTAAGGAGGACAGAAAAAATACCCCTCCTTCCCTTTTCCCCTGCTTCCTTTATTAAAGATTGGAGCCTTTCATTCTGAGAAACAATACTATAAAGTATATGAGCACTGTTATAATGAAGGATGTTAGTCATCTCGTGTGTGTGTGTTTAGGGGGTAATCTGCTATTTTAGTAAATTTCATTAGAACATGTTCATTTCTTTCTTCATGCAGCTCCACACATCAGAAAAAAGCCATATCTTCCCGGTAAACCTTCAGCTGAAGGATAAGCCAGACAGATTCATTGACAGTCCACAGATGATGACAGGTTTGGGCTGAAGACGTTTTTCACTCTACTTTAATTTAGTTAGGTTAAAGGCTCCTAGAAAACTAACAAAACACTAGAGTCACGAGAGAGAGAGTGCTCTGAGTATCAGATGCATGCACACAACTCACACAAATCTTATACACACAGCTTAACATGCACGAGCATGTGTGCACACAGACCACATGTCAGATACATTTATACCCCCCAGACAAACATGCATACAAAGCCATAGACATAAATCTTGCACACACACACAAGATCACCCTCAGACTAACACCTCAGTTTAGACTGCTTGCTTGTCAGTAGTGTATAGAACAGAACATTCTGAAATAATAGATCTCAACAGAAAATGTGAAGTGTCTCCTAGGGTCAGTGAAGGAATTTAGCTCAAAGGAGATAAGCATAGATAGGGGAGGGCCCTTGCAGAAGCTTTTATGGGAACTGGGATCAACATTTAATGCATTTTAAAAATTCACTTTTAAAAAAATCTTGAGAAGGAATAGAATGTATAAACATAATTCCCCCAGACCCACGCTGTATCTCTGGGAAAAATACAAGGGTTCTTTGAAAAGCTCCTTGCTGCATCAGCAAACTAAACAAGGAGCAAAGAAGTCAGATTAAAAGCGTACCCAAAGCAGTGGGGGGAGTAGTGGAGCCCGACTCTAGCAGCTTGTCTACTCGGTGGTGTAATGCGCACCACAGGGGTCTGGTTTCTAAAGTGCACTAACATGTTGCACATTAATTGGTCCATGTAGACCCTGCTGGTGCGCACTAAAAGTTCCCTAGAGAGCTTTAATGTAGCACTGAAACAGGATTACGTTAAAGCACACTAAGGAGCTTTTAGCATGTACCTGCAGGGTCTACATGGGCCAATTAATGCACAGCCTGTTTAGTGCGTTTTAGAAATCACACGTCCCCCAGCAGTGTGCATTACCCCATATGTAGACAGGCCCCTAGATTAGTGCAGAACAAGCTCAGTAGACTGGCCTGCCAAGACTTATTGTTCACATGCTGACCGCCTCCTCTGTCCTGCCTCTCTGCCTTTGCCATGCTTTGAACTCTCCAGCTAAACCTGTGTTAATGTTGCATGTCGCATCTATGAGGCAAGTTCTCCTCTCACTTACACCAGCTTTACATCACTGTGACTCCAATGACTTCATTAGAGTTGCTTCTAATTTACATTGGTGTGAGAGGAGAATCAGGCCGTTAGCATGAGCTATAGTGAGAAGATCCTGACTAGGCTGAGAAACACTGAAACACATCTATTATAAGCCCAGACAGACAGGTTTCCTGGTAGGGTATGGCAGGGTGGAAGGAGGCATCTTGCAAGGGAATCAGGCAGTGGGGAAAACATTGAGTGAGAGGTTCCCAGGGGCAGAGAAGTACTGCTGAAGGGGATCAGGATGAAGGCACTTTAATTTCTTGAACTAATCTAGGTGGTGAGTATCAGAGGGAAAGGGGCACTGGGCTGGGGTCACTTCTCTTCATAATAGAGGATACTTGAGTCTCAAGATGAGTGGTGTTGTGATCAGAAAAGACAGAGAGGGGAACACCTGTAGCCTCTTAAATCACAGAGTTCATCAAAGAGCATTGAATCCACACCCATAGTTGCATGGAGGAGTTATTAGTTTATGTGGCCCAAGTTTGGATTCAAGTTTGCATAACTTGAATCAACCTCTCTACCAACTTCTCTGGTTCCACTCTACCTTAGTCAGATTGGTACATTTGAAACTACAGAGAGGTTTACAAAAGCAATTGCAGACCAAGACCAAAATGTATGGGGCCAGTTATACAACAGTAAAACTCCTCTATTGGCATAGGTCAAGCTACTTTTGATTTTCCCCACTCTCGCTCATTTTCCCCACCTTTCTTTATCAGTCTTTATTCTAAACCATGTTTCAATCTCCGAAAATATCAAATATCACCTGTAAGCCCATTACCTTAGTATTAATAGTACCCAGTGTAACACACTAAGTCAGGGAGCTAAACCAGCAATTCTTGCATGGAAAATAGGAGATTTTCATGCATAATTGTGAAGACTCAATACCCTAAGCATAGGTGGATTATTGCGTTATGTGGGGAGCTGGGAAAGGGCATTGAACCCCAGACAAAAAATTGACAACAGTTTGATTAAGTGCTTGGAGCAGGGAGATAAGATTCTTAGGTTCTCTTCTTGTCTCACCTCTGACTTGCTCTGTGACTTTAGGCAGGTTACAAGGGCCAATGTTTTCAAAAAGGTTCATACATTTTAGAGGTCTCCATTTCAGGGTGTTCAGTTTGAGACAGCCAAGGTTTGATCTGGCGACATGCTGAGCATACACAATTCCAGCTGAAGTCAGTAAGAGCTATGCATGCCCCTGGAACCAGGCCCTACATCTTTCAAGTAGGGTGCTCCAAAGCAGAGGAACTCAAAATCAGTGGGCACTTTTGAAAATGTAGCCTTTTGGTGCCTCAGTTTCCCCCTCTGTAAAGGGGTGATGGATCTGCATATGAAGGCTTGGGGGGATTTGTTAATTGTGTGATAAAGTTCTTTGAGATTCCCCCTGGTGAACAGTGCAAGAGAAGTGCCATTCCTGAGTATGATTATTTCTGTTTTACACATTCCTGCAAACATGTGTGTGTTGGAGGGAATGGGGAAGTGAAAATAATGTTTCCTGAACATGTCTAACTGTTGATTCATAGGGTACCCACATTTCAACAACTAAGGGCCTGAGGGTTGAGAAGGTTACGTAACCCGGGCATCAGCTAATAAAGAGGTGAAAGCACTGTAGGAAAATCATTAGGAAGCAGAGACAAGCAGACCTAATGGGAGCAGTGAGTCAAGAATGCTCATAGCTGCTAAAGGGAAGGAAGGGGACTGTAAACATTGTACAGAGCATTGTAACCATTAGATTTTTGTCACAGAAAATGGAAGCAATAGGATTGCTTTGCAGCAGGATGGAGTCAGCTGTACCGAGCTGCTTCCCATGTGGATACCGAGAATTAGAAAAATGTAACATAAACTGACAAAAGGGTTGTTTTTTTAATGCTAAATCATATTTTAGTGGGAATGAATGCCCAGTACTTCTGGGAAATCCTTAGGATCGCAGCCAAGGCCCCTTCAGCTTCCTCTATGTGCAAACCGTCCTCCTTGCCTGTTGGATTTCATATGCTGTATGGGTTAATATATATATTTGGTTTGGTGTTTGATTGTATAAAGCTAAGCACAGTCATGAAAGACCCAGGCTTGGGAACTCACACTCGCTTTTGTCTCTTGTGGTTTAGTGGAGGTCTATAACTGTGCAACTGGAAGCACAGACTGTTCTCAGTGCCTGGGGAGAGAGGACATGGGGCACCGATGCATCTGGAGTGAGAGCAGCTCCATTTGCAGACTAAACACTGAATCCCCACAGATCCCAGTCATGTGTCCTGCTCCGGAGATTAGGAAGGTAAGACTTGAATGCAGCAGAGAGCGCATTCTGTTGGTCAGCATCACTCCATATAATGTAACAAACAACACAGCCCTGAGTTTCAAAACCAAGGGGAGGGTCACAGGTGTAGCATCTACTACCAGTCATTCAGTCGGGACAACTGAGAAATCCTCAAGACTGGCACCGTTCTGTTCACCAATTTGTTATGCTGCCCATTCACCTGAAAACTCCAGACTAGCTGCAGATGATATCTAGGTACAGAGCTTGTCAGACTCTCCAAAGCCATGTGTTGTTTTGGGGAGATGGGAAAATCAAATAGATTCATGCTGAGTGATTTTTCAGAATCAATCAGAAGATTCATTAGCTAGGAATAGTCATTAGAATGGGTACAGATAAAATAATAACCTGGACCCAAAACTCCATCCACACATGCCCTGAAGCTATAGTGAGGTTCACAGTGTCTGAGTGAACTTTATGTCAGTGTGTTTTAGAGATGGTCCAAAGTCTAGATCTGGATCCCAACTTTCCCACTGCTCTGGGATGTTCTGGAATCCTGGGTTTTGATTAGAGATAGGGGACTAGCCACCAACTTCCACTCCAGATGCAGAGTCCCAGAGAAGAGTGTGTATTCGGAAAATACCAGGATCAACTTCATGGGAATGGGCAAAAATCTGGAGAGCAAAGATCCTATGGAAAACAGCTAATGAACCCACCAAAGCAGGGACGAGCATACAGCTATCCGCTCATAAGCTGAGTGCTGTAACATTGTGTGTGTGTGTATTTTGTGTTTCCCATAGCCAATTCCATCTTGTCACTATCACAGGCCCAACAGTGGGAAGGGAATGTTCTCTGATGAGCCTCCCCCCGCCTGCATATAAAATATTATCAACTCCTTGCCAAAAAAATAATGGAAACAAACCACAAGAATTCAGGTTGTCACGGGATTGTGATGCTATTTCCTTAGCAGACACTGGGCATTGAATCTAAATCCTCCATCACAAAAACATGCCAGCTTTGCTGTAGTGTTTACAGAGTCATCCTCAGGAGAAGGAGAACAACTGTATAGGGAAGGGGCACTGAGCATAGTAGTGGAACATTATCAGCCGTAACCAGCTTGGCAGAAGACGGAGCCTCCGTTCTTGACCTTCCACCCCCTGGCTTACGTCATGTTGTGTTGGCAGCAGCTACAGTGAGTGGCAAGCTGCAACCTCTCCAAATACACTCTGAGAAAGGCTGATGTTACAAGGCAGCTTTTGCTGGCTTTATTTGTTGATAAGTTTGTTAAATGTAAAGGGCCTTTTCTAAGGGCAGCATATTTAACTAGACCAGATGAATAACAAAATCAAAGCAGCCAAGTGGCCCACTGCAAAACAGACAGTAACAAAGCAAATCTCCCATGGATATGCAGTAAAATAACATGACAGCCTGCAGCATTTACGCTGTTTGCAATGGTCCCATCCCAACTAAGCAGGGTGTAATATTCAGATGCGACAAAGTAATTCAGTAGGAGGCAGTCTGCTCTCTGACTGATTCAAGGGACCAGTGCCCCAGCACGATATTAGGGGAGGGGTACTTGTGCCCTGGCCAATGTCCACCTCGTTATTTATTTGTTTTTTTATTTGTTGAGCCTAGAGGCCTCCAGTCAAAGGTCAGGACTCCACTGTGCTAGGCATTGTCCACACACATAATGATGAGATGGTCCTTGCCCCAAAGAACTAACAGTCTCAGAAGATTCTGCTGCTCCACTCTGTCTCCTAAATTGTTGTGCAGAGTTGCTGTGTTTCTCTCCAGAGGTGGCTGCATTTTCAATGGCAGATGCAGTGATCTCTGTGCCCACAGAGGGCACCAGAGTCACCCGAGAATTGTAAGGCCTTTTTGTTGACAAAGCTCCTGCAGGAAGAGCACGCTGAGGAGGTGGCCCATGCATGTGAAGCTGGAGCATGAGAGGCAGGACAGAATCAGATTAAACGGAGTGTACACACACACACGAACAGACATTACTTGGGAATCAAATCAAAAAGGTTTTTCTGCAGTTCTGTTTTAACCCATTCCCCCTTTCCTTTGGCTCCTTGGCAGATTGAGCCCCTGAGCGGGCCCCTGGAAGGAGGAACTCTGCTCACAATAAGAGGAAGGAACCTGGGCCGTAGGTTCAGTGATGTCGTTAATGCTGTCAAGATAGGGAGTGTGAGATGTGCACCACTCTGGGACAGATACATGGTCTCTGAGGCGTGAGTAATTCAGGCTGAGCCATTGAAAAGCAGGAGACTGTGCTTACGGATTGTTTATTTTTTCCCTTTTTCAGTTAGCCAATTCCCCCCCCACCCCCCGCCCCTGTGATGGGGAAATGGCTGGCCGGGTGACATTGATAGTGACCCATTCAGTTATGCATGCATGCACCCATAGTGGGGACTGATAGTTACCAGCATTGAGCTGCTTTTCAACCTAATGAGACAAGTTTGGTGGGGGTCTCAGTTTTGCTTCCCAGTGTCTACATGACACACAACCCCACCCATACAATAGGCACTAACTGGCCACTCCTTGGCAGTCTCCACCAAAGACTGAATGGGCCAAGGAGACTCCCAGCGAAGGGCTGAGGCCCTTTGGTGGGACAGTGTGGGGGAAGTGTGCACAGCTGCTGCCTGCGGAGAACCTGGTCAGAGACTGAATGTAGAACTTTGCTCCCCCGAGTTGTCAAACCTTTCACCTTCATTACGCGTCACATCAGTACTGTCTCACTTCATTATTTTCTAGCCTTCCCCATTATCACTTCCAGACAGGCTTGAGAGGAAAGCTGAGGTGATTGTCTCCAGCCTCCTTGGTTGTGAAATCCTCCACAAAAGCCTCAAAACCTCCCTTCCGCCAGCCAGTTTCCCACAGAGATGGTTATATTAGACTATGAACCAAGGTCTTGAAGAGCAGCAGGTCAGACAGTCCAGAATGCCCACGCTCTGAGGCAGAGTCTCCTGGCACCAACAACTCCGTGCCTGATTGACAAAGAACTAGATTTTGCCCCTCATGCTGGAATAGCTAGACACTACTAGTAAGAAGCTCAGCCCATGCTCTGCTATGCAGCTGAAAGCGAGAGCAAGTACTGGCTAAATAACAGTGTCTTCTAGGGATCCCTGTACAAGGCCACATATATCTGTGAGACCAGTATTGTTTGTTGAGCCTTTGGCTGTGCCTCCACTGAGCTTTTCCTTGAAATATCCCTCTGCAGAACTATTGTGGGGGCAGCGCAGTGGCAGCTGCAGTGTAAACAGCATGCAGACGTTCTTTACCAGTGTTGCCTTACCCTCCTCAAAGCACCTGTAGACAATGTGGTGGTAAAAATGCAGGTGGCTGGTCTGTGCTAGCACTGCCACCATTACTAGGCCCACTGGAGCTGCATATAATGCAATGATGGCGGATTGCAAGGGAAAGCTCAGTCTTACTTAGCTCTGCTCTCGCTCTGTTCTGACCACGTGTCTCCTCTCTTTTTCCATCTCTCTCTCTTCCGCAGCATTGTATGCCAGACTGGAGAAGCTCCCTCTATATTTTCCGATGTAGTGACAGTTAACGTAAGCAGGGAAGGGAAATCAAGGGAGCGGTACTCCTATGTGGTAAGTTCTCATTGAGTCCCAATTCATCTCTGGTGAAACTCTGATGCTCCACTGGCTTACATGAAGGAAGAACCTAGCTCATGGAGTCAGGAGCCGTCAGCGATGCTTTCAGCTATTCACTTTATGAGCCTCAGTCTGGCTGACTTTAGCTCCCTGTGGGAAGAGGCGGGGTGGAGCAGGGGCAGGGGTGGGAAGAGGCAGGACTGGGGTGGGGGCCATGGGGAAGAGGCAGAGCACGGGCTGGAGCAGCATGCAGCTGCATTGGGCACCAGGAAATTTGGTGCCCCAAATTTCCTGGTGCCCTACGCAGCGGCGTACTTTGCGTATGGGTAGGAACGACCCTGATGCCATCCTTACTTCTGCGCTGCTGCTGGTGGCTCTGCCTTCAGAGCTGGGCTCCCAGCTGGCAGCCACTGGTCTCCAGCTGCAGCGCAGCAGCAGCACAGAAGTAAGGGTAGCAATCTGCAACCCGCCCCTACAATAACCTTGTAACCCCCCCACAACTCCTTTTTGGGTCAGGATCCCTACAATTACAAGACCATAAAATTTCAGATTTAAATAGCTGACATCATGAAATTTACGATTTTTAAAATCCTATTACTGTGAAATTGACCAAAATGGACCATGAATTTGGTGAGGCTTTAGCTATGTGACTTCACAGGCAAGTACTTACGCCCAGATTTTTAAAGGTTAGTTGTGTGCAGGTGTAGTTGTCAGCTAACCTGTGTGATGTATAGCAGGTGTTTCTCAAGACCTCTTTTGGTTAACATTGTACAGTAGCCCATGGAGATGGTCATCCTTCTCTAGTGGTCTGAAAGAGACCAGTGCTTCTCTTACCTTTAAGACCAAGTCTCAGGTCAAACCGATTAGTCAGTAGCCCAATGCAGTTTAGGACAAGCCCACTGGAATGATTCGTATACCAAGTGCATGCTACTTTACTATAGTCCCTTGGGTTTGTGCTGTGGTTTTGATTGGAATAGAGTATATAATTGTCCCAGCTTCTAGAGGCCTGAAATAAGATGTCACCTGTCATTACTTCCAAATTGATTTTGGTTCCCCTCCAGTTCAGTGGAAGGGCACTGGGATCCTATTGTCAGTAGGTTCAGGTTCTAGTAGGTGTTAGTTTTTTCACATCCAAAATGTCCCACAAGGACAAAGCTGGCTGGGTTAGAGGCATATTCATGTGATATCATAAGAGTAGTGCAGGCTGCAGATGCTGGTAAGATCCAGTTGCTTTTCCTGCAGAGTTTGGGATTTCTAGAGAATCATGAGTCTCCAGGATGAGTCTGTTGTAATCCAGAAAATTAGACCTCAGAGCACATCAGCTGTGTTGGTGACACAGAGGTGAGAGAGTAAAGATTGGAGGCAGATGTGCTCTTTCTTTTTAAGTTGTTTTTGGTGTGTGGGGGGAAGACATCTTGGGAAACATCTGCAAAAGCGACACCAACGAAAGAAAGAAAATCAACTGCCAGCACCTTGAGCTGGAACCCTGCATTCATGAGAGCCCTACATTCCTAGCCACTGACCAGACTTGTGTCTATGGCCAAACCACTAGGCAGAGAAAACAGGAGGAGCCATTTTTCTGTTCCTCTCACAGGAAGGAGGCTGTCTCATCATCGGCTGCTTTCCTCAGCCTGGGCTAGGAAATGGAACAAAACATGTGGAGACTGAAGTCCCAGGGTCAGGACCTGAATGTATGTAAAGAAAAGATTGGGTTAAATAATGCCCTACAAAGTGTAGGGTATTGTAGCTGAAACAGCAACCATGTTCCACCCCAGAGGTAGCTGCATTGCTGAGCTGAGTGATTTGATTCCTCTTTGTCAGTTCTGTTCTCTCACATATGCTAGGGTGAATATGGAGTGTAAAACAGATCTCACCATGTAAAACTGGCCTAGGTGAGATCTGAATGCCAGAACTGCTAGTGATCTACCTGACAATGTCTGACTCCCAGAAAATCCTTTGTAAAAAGCTGAAATGGCTTCCACAGGGATTTTTCTGTTCTGGGGGTTTCAAAGTCCTACTCAGGAACGCATAAAAGAGGAGGAATTCATCTCTACTGTAACTCCATTGAGCTTGCACCAGAGATAAATTTGGCCCTTTGATTGTGCCAGGGCATTCCAACCAGGTCTCTGTGAGTAGAGCTGAACTTTCAAGAGTTACTGTGGAAAGTAACAATGCTACCAGCTGGTGATCAAGCTGCAAGTGACAGACCCCAGCTAATGGGGCGGGATTGGGCTGAGAGCTTGAGGGGCTTGGTGGGCACAAATAATCCTTTGTTATATTTTGTATTATATATTTTAATATATGAGGGAGGGGCCCCATGCATGGGTCAGCTGCCTAAAGGCTTTGATCCATTTAAATTAACAAAATAAATACTGTAGAAATGGAAGACAATCAGAAACCCCAGAGGAAATGGCTATAGAGGAATACAATCCATCCCAGTGTGTGACAAGGACAAGAAGAACTTGTAATGTAGCAGGACAGTATGGCTGGAATTGACAGGAAAAGACATTAGTACCATGGGACAGTAAGCGGTTTAACAATATTTGCTGCTATCAGCTTGCATGTATTTTTCTCAGCAATATACAACGACTGTAGTAGGGCTGAGGTCTCCACAGTATCGTATATGCTCTGAAACCCTGCACATCTGGTTCCTCAAGGATGTTGTAGCTCTTTTACAGGGAACCACAGAATGCTCTGTAAAAGGATTTAAAACTTATTTTTCATGCCATGTGTACTGTTCATGCCAGGGCAGGGAAGCTACCCAGTGAACTTCCCTTTGGAACTGTATATGGGAGCCACATGGCATCCATTGGGTTCTCAGAATTCTATTGGGCACCAAAGCCTTGAACCTTGAATCTCAGTAAAATTTCCAAGGGGCTGCAAATATAAAAAATGCACTTGTTAATTTCAGTAGCTTCCAATGGGGAGAGAGGAAGGCAGAGGGAAACACTGAGGGGCAAACCAACTCAGTGGCTTCCCTGCTAGGAGCTGTCACCCCTGGAGATCTGGCTTTGAATCCTGACTCAGGGAAATGAATTTGATGTTTGATTATCCAGACCCGGATGGATGCATGCCCAGATCACAAAACCGCCATACAACATGGCTTTATAGGTAGCCTCCCACTCAGGTGGGAGTTGGACCAAGGGAGATATTTTCCTTATTGATTGGACACAAGCCATTACATTCAGATCTGGATCCACATAGTCCCAAGGTTCAAGGGGATTTGAATTCAGGGTTCTGGTTTGGGCCCATCTGTGGTTTTTAGACTAGGACTCAGGTATATCTGTAGATTGGAGGCCTGGAGGGTGGCTCCGCTCTTCGCTTCCGAGAGGTGTAAGTAGCCTGTGTGATTTGGTCTCTCCCTTTGTTTGGAAAATGAGCCAGATAGATCTCTCTCTGTGGTGGTGTTACAGCACTGGCAACATCTGACACTAAAATGGAACTCATGTCCAGATTACCACATTATGGGGTTATTGGGGTTAGGAAACTGCTGAAAAATCTCACCTTTCTTTCCCTAGCTCCCTGAGGTGCAGTCCGTGGCTCCAGGTGCTGGCCCTAAAGCTGGAGGCACCAAAGTAACCATCAGAGGGAGTAATCTCAGCGTAGGATCTGATCTCCGCGTCCTGGTCAATAGTACTAAACAGTGCACAAACCTCACGTAAGTGCTGTCTGGAGATGACCTGTGTTACTGTGTTATCGGGCTGGCACTCAGGACTTGCTGTAGATGCACCAGTGAGCAGGAGTCTAAGAGCCTCAGCTACTAGGAAGGATCATATTGTTATAGCAATTGATCAGAGAGTTGGCGTTCAGAGGGAGTCCATTGAGCACTGCTGCCAGCTGGCATGATGGCTTACAGCCAAGGAGCCAATGTCACCTTCCTAAAAGTAGCATCCAAATTTATCCACTGAGCTGCCCCCTCCTCCATCCCAGTTGTCATGAGCAGCCTTGTGCTTTGCAAGTGTGGTAACATTGAGTTGTCATGTGGCCACTTGACTTAAGGATGTAGTGAGTTTCTCCTGTAGGACAAATATAGGAAGTTAAGAGTCATAGTTATTACTGAGTATCAGAGGGGTAGCCGTGTTAGTCTGGATCTGTAAAAGCAGCAAAGAGTCCTGTGGCACCTTATAGACTAACAGACGTATTGGAGCATGAGCTTTCGTGGGTGAATACCCACTTCGTCGGATGCATGTAGTGGAAATTTCCAGAGGCAGGTATAAATATGTAAGCAAGAGTGAGTCAGGCTAGAGATAACGAGGTTAGTTCAATCAGGGAGGATGAGGCCCTCTTCTAGCAGTTGAGGTATGAACACCAAGGGAGGAGAAACTGCTTTTGTAGTTGGCTGGCAATTCATAGTCTTTGTTTAATCCTGAGCTGATGGTGTCAAATTTGCAGATGAACTGAAGCTCAGCAGTTTCTCTTTGAAGTCTGGTCCTGAAGTTTTTTTGCTGCAGGATGGCTACCTTTATATCTGCTATTGTGTATCCAGGGAGATTGAAGTGTTCTCCTACAGGTTTTTGTATATTGCATATTGCCAGTTATTACCGAGGTGCAGTGGCTGCATTCCAGCAGTGGCAGAGGTGATACGTACAGTTGGTAAAGTACTCTGGGTCCTATGTAGTCTTGTGGTTATACACACAGCCCTAGGAGTTAGGTGGTCCTGCTTCTAGTCCCAGCTCTGTCAGATACTTGCAATGGGGCGTTGGTCAAGCTGCCTAGGCTAAAAAAAAATTTAAAGTGGCCAATAATTTTAAATGTACTTATTTTAAACAAATTCTATATATATTTTAACCCCAGATTAAATAAATTTAGCCATTCTGTGCACGCACCCTTGCTGAGTAATCATGTGGTCCTGTTATAGGGTCCACTGTCTGTCCTTTGCCATCCCCACCCCACCGTTTTCTTGTTTCTGTGTTGCATCTTGTCATTTCAATTGTAAGCTTCTCAGGGCAAGGACCTTATGCTGTTTATTGCACTGCAAGGCACACTATTTGATGCTGTAAAAAATAACAATGTTGGGTGCCTCCATTTTGGGGTGCCCACTTGGGAGCACCAAGGTGTCTCATGTCAGGTTGCCAAAAGAGGAGATACCCCAAATCAGCTGCCAGTTTTTAGATCATTGGCCTTAATCTCTCTGTGCCTCGGTTTCCTCCCCTGCGAAATGCTGATGATAGTACCTCTCCCATGGGAATGGGAATTGTGAGACGAAATCCATGGTTGTTGGTTGGTGCTTTGAGATCCTCCAGTGGGAAGCACCTAGCGTGCAAAGTATTTCCACTGTTAAAAGCACTCTCAAAAGACAAAGCCATTATTGGAGGTGTGGAGCAGCTACATGGCTTTGTGCTGCTTGCTGCACCCGAATGCCAAACCTGAGGCTGTTCACCTCGCTGCCAACATTGGGGCTGTGGGAATAGGTCTCTGCTGCCTCATGTCATGCACTCTTTGTTCAGCTGTTGTGCTCTGCAGCTTGCTATGTCTTTCTCTTTCCAGTCGAACTGCTACCACCATCACATGCACCATGCCAGCCGTGGAGCTCACTACGGCTGTGCGACTCTGCGTCCAGTTTGAGAACAAGTCTTGCATCAATGATAACATCACATTCAAGTATGAGAGAAACCCGATTATAACAGATATCAACCCGACAAGGAGTCAGATCAGGTGAGATCCCTGCACTGGTGGAGAAGGCAGAGTCTCTAGAGACCCTCCCCTTCCCTGTGTGGTCATTGAAATGTGTTGTTTATTTTGCTGAATGCAAACGTGAATGTAGTACTCATCAAAGTGAAGAGCTAGCAGGACTGGAACAACAGAGGTGCTGCAGATCTGAGTGAGGGTGCATAGACACAGCTGTTTGACCCTGAGATTGAAGTGGGGTGCTGCTGGTCACAACTGAGGTGCAGAGCTGAACAGTGACCTCAGGGGAAGAATGTCTGAGGATGTTGCAGGTCAGGACTGAGGTGCTTTGGCAAAGCAGTGTGGTGTCCCCAGGGTTGGAATACCAGGAGCTATCACAGCTCAGGACTGCGGTGCATAGGCAGAGCTACATAGAGGAGTTATGCAGACACTTGCTGTCTGTGGGCCTAGTTCTAGCAAGTTTCTCTGAAATTCACACAGAAAATGGAAGAAAAGCATTGACTGTCATCCTTAGTAACTTTATTACCTGTCTTCCTCTACACCGTTTAGGTGCCTTATGGAAGTTCAAGTGGGGGCCGACATCTATACTGCAATAAAACACCCGTGGCTGGAACATCAACTGGCTCAGGCTGAGGGGCTATAAAATGGGAATGTAGATGTTTGGGCTCAGGCTGGAGCCTGGGCTCTGAGACCCCAAGGAGAGTGGGGAGGGTCCCAGCCCCCTGGGCTGCAGCCCAAACATCTACACTGCAATTTTATAGCCAACAGCCTGAGCCCTGCAGGCCCGAATCAGCTGACATGGGCCAGCCATGGGTGTTTTATTGCAATGCAGACGTACCCTCTGAGTCTTAGGATTCTGACTGGCAATAACACTGCAGGCCATCAGCTGAGATTTGTAATTTTGTGTTTAAATGGCTCCTAATGCCACCACTTTTCACTTTAAAGCATGTTACTTTGGTTTCATTTGTCTCCCCAGAGCCTCTAAACTTCCTGTTGCTTTTGGATTTCTCTGTGAAATCCCAGCTCACTTAGCAGTAGAATCTGAAAATGCAGAGCCTGAGTCTGACCATAGAAATCTGAGAATCGAGCACTTGAGCCTCCTCTCCAAAATGCCATGAAAGCAACACCCTCAGAAAGTAAATGCAGGCTACCAAGACTACAACAGTCTGATGCTATCTACAGCCTGCCTAGCAGAGCCATGACTCAGATCACAAGTGCAATACCAAGGGTACAGGCTGTGTGAGAATGCACATCAATGACACACCCAACCCTCAACTTCTCACGTGGAGTTTTATCAGTCTCGAGACTGATGAATGGCAATAGTTGTATCTAAACACAGAGCGACAGCTACAAAAAGTTGAGGCTTACATCCAAAAAGGAGCCCACCAGGGCATTTCTCATTCAATTGGAAACTGTTTTTTAAACTTTCTTTGGTTTCCAAATAATAGAATGTTGGAAACTTGATGGAAGTTGTTTTCTCTTGGTGCGAACACACTCTCTGTTAATGCAGAGCTACTCACAAGGGTTGGGCTGTACATAGTGGTTTGTTTTGTAGGGTTACTTGTGAATATTGTTCACACTGATTTGTTATTGTAGGGTTACTTGTGAATTCTCTCAATGCTAATATGTTGCTGTAGGTGTGATCATGAAGTACCAGTAACTCAGCAAATAGATCTAATTTGGTTTATGGCATTGCTAAAATGATCAGTATGATGAGGAGTAAAGTTGTTTTAAAAGGCCGTAGATCCCAAACAATTACACAGACGTGGCAAGAGCTTAACAGGGACAATAAACATGTGTAACAACAATATACTACGATCTATAGCAGTTTTAAGGGCTTACGAAGGCCCGGACTATAAGGGCACTAGACATAAGGCCCTGAATATATTGAGCCTGTTGGAGATTAGGGGATAAATCACTACCCTCCCCCGACTTCCCAAACTAGTTACTTGATATCACCATGTCATTAAAGCAAATAGAACATGAAATGGGGGAAATGAAAAGCCATATGCAGGGCAAAGCCTTGGTGCAGTTGCTGTTCAACCGAAGACACAAGCCACTCCTCCCTCCCTCCCAGTGAGGCGTGTGCCCCAGCCATCTCATTACTCTCTTTAATTGCTTCCACATTGACAGCGCCTCATGCCACAGGTGGCAGGTCCAAAACACAAACGAATTGTCACAGGTTTTTTCCCCTAAATAAAAAAAAACTGTTTGAAAAATGCAGAATGGACATTAATGCATTAATGGGCTGCTTGGCCTGCCCAGGACTTAGCCTTTCTTTGCTGAGATAAAAAAAAGAGTAAATCCTAATTCATCTAAGTATTGAGCTAATTATGTGTTAACCCTTACATTACTGGTCCCTGGGTAACCTGCTCTGCTGTAATCATCACATGTCCGTTACTGAAACAATATGCTATTCCCTGAATATTCAGCAGCAGCACAGGTGCATTTTTCCTGCCTATATCTGGTTAGTTCAGCAGCATATATGTTGTCAGTGATACGTGCACTCCCTTTCTCACCTCTTTCTTATTTTCCCAGTGGAGGCAGGATCATCACTCTGGAAGGACACGGATTTTTGATGGTTCAGAATGTGTCGATGGTGGTTCACAGCATCGGGAAAGAACAAACAGTAAGCGTCCTGCATTAATGTAGCACAAAGACACTGAACCAGGTTGTCTGCCTGGTGACTGGGGACATTCTGAATAATAATGTACCATCTATAAAAGCCATGGACCTGGTCTCTAACCCTTGCTGCTGATGGGGCTGTAACTGGGATGAATGTTAAGTTCCTTAGCTCAGAAGAATGACAGACCTAAGTTATGCCCATGCACTGTAATTATTATTATTAATGTTTTCAGTGCCATCAAGGTGCCTGGTGCTAAATAGTGTCCGGCTGTTGGTGCACACAGTTGCCTGTCAATCAATGACTAAATGAAGCTATCCTATCCGAGGTAGCTGCAGCTGCTTGAGGGCTCTGGGCCTCTCAGAACGTTTGCTGACACATGACTGAGACTTGGGTTTATCCATTTTTGATGCGCATGCTCTTTCCTGCTTTCAGAACTGTAAGGTTCACACCGACACTATGATTACCTGCCCCTCTCCAGCTGCCTCCAACCTCACTGTGGGGAGCAAGCCAGCACCGGTGGACTTCTACATCAATGGCCGCCTCTACACGGACGACAGGCTGGCTCCCGATGAGTACATGTACCCCGAGGAGGCCCAGCACACCAGCAAGTTCAGCCTGGAGTACTACGCCAACCCCCAGTTCTTCACAGCCAAGAAGGAGAAATGGATCAAGCATCATCCTGGGGAACCCCTGACTCTGGTTATACATGTAAGAGACTAACACAGGGCATCCTGGATTCTTGGCAATAAGACTTTACACTAGGATGTCACCATTTTCTCACAGTGAGGTTCTTCAGTGGGTAGGGTGCCTAGATACCATAGCAGGTGATGAGTGCCTTATAAATGCAATAGAGAGAAGGTCTGAGGGGTTAAAGGAAGGATGGGTGTAGGTAGGGGCTAAGGGGGAAGGAACTCACAGAGGAGTGGACAGCTCATTCCCAAAGGTAATGCTAAGTTCTGATGAGCCTGCAGTCTCCTACTGAACAGATTAGGGTGTTGTAGTATGTAGCTTGACCAAGTGATACTATAGGGGGATGGATTATGATACCCTAGTACTGTATTTGAAGGATGTAGCAGCAAGGAGGGGGATAAAGCACTGGATATAGTTGGAACAGACCAAGTGACCAAAGGGTCTTTTCCATATCTAATGTCCATGATTGTAGAGATTGGTTCTTGTAGAAATGGGCTCTGAATTCATCTTTGATGGCTACTGAGTTAAATTAACAAGGAAGTCGGGGCAAACCAAGACTGAGTGGTTTGGACAATGTAAAAGTTTAAAAGCCCTCGTTTGTTGTAGAATGTCCTCACTGAGTGAAGCATACTTCAAAAATACTTTCTGCCTCTCTCTCTAATATAATGCAGCCATCCACAAGCTATCTAGGACTCCCCACCCCGTTTCTCTCCCTCCCCATATAGTCTCTCTGATATGTATTTGCCATGCACAACCAGGGCAGATCAAAGACAGTATTTTCCAGGCTTTGTCAGGGCATTTGTCCATTCCATGCGCCACACTGAGAGACAACGAGGGACTGGAAACAGGAAAATGAGGAATGGGCGGAGGTTGGATTTCCCATGGAATGCTGGAAAAATGGAAGATGTCAGCGGAGAGGGAGGGCTTTCCCAGGGCTGACTGGTGGCAGGAGGTACAGGAAGTTTACTAGGGCTTCCACAAAGAAGCCATTGCAAGTGGGCCTGGCACTCTGGGGACTGACTAATTCACTTTGTTGTCCTGGTTTTGTTTTTGTAATTAGAAAGAGCCTGACAACCTAAGCCTGGAAAGCGATGAGTACCAAGTGAAAATTGGCCTCCTTTCTTGTGAGATACAGATTGTTTCAGACAAAGTCATTCACTGCTCAGTCAACGAGTCACTGAGCACATCGGAAAGACAGCTGCCCGTGACGGTGAGTGCCACAAACCAGGACCGTCTGAGCTTGCAGGACAAGAGCGCTCAGTGTGTTGAACTTAATATACCAGGGAACCCGCATGTTAGCCTCAGGATTCCCTTAGCACTCACCTGTGCGAAGCACTAAGTGAACACACCGCTGGGAACAATTCTGCAATGGCTGAAGAGGGGTGGACTAGATGAATGGAGAGGTCTTTTCCACCTCTCCTCTCTGTGGGTGAAATACTGGCCAGTGCTGAGCACCAGCACCTTCCATGGGGCTGAGCACCTCTCAGGATTTGGCCTAATGATTCTGAGACATCTAAAGCATGGAGAAGGCAGCCATTTCCCTGCAGGTTCTGGGGTGCTGACAGCCAAATGATGGCACTTGGTCCTGGTGGGTTCATTTGAGAACTGGCTGTTTTCACTATAAGCTGTAGAGGGAAGTCCCACAGTTCCAGCAATGAGTGTAAAATCCCACTGTCACTTGATCCTTCTCCACTAAAAGGTTTTTCTTTGAATGGCTCCTGTGAAATGAGTTTAATGGTTGCCAGCCCAGTTACTAGTCGTCAGGCCCCCTTGTTATCAGTGTCAGCAGACGAGCAAGGATTGAATGGGAATGCAGTCCTGAATGCCCCTCTCAGTCCTGTAGTGGCAGAGGAGTGCAGTGGAGGGGGCAGCGCTGGGAAACTCACATTGCCACTGCCCATCTGCAGCTGCTCTGCAGATAAAAAGAGGAATTCAGTCGTCCCCAGGGCCATCGATCTGGCATCTTTCCCCAGCACTAGATCATCTCACTGGCCCGTCTCGGTCTGATGGAACTCCAGGGACAGGCTCCAAGGCCGTTCTGATGTCAAAGCAGCTCTCAACTGTTCTTGGGAGGGTTTGCGTTTGTGGCTTTACTATTGTTCCTTACTCCTTTTTTCCAGAGGGCGTCCCTAATTGTACGCCTTTGCCTTCAGCTTTCACTTCATTTATAGCCCTTGGCTCCTCAGGGGTGAGATTAAAGCTGTTCACAGTTGGAGACAATGTCTCCACCTGTCTCACCCCCCTGAGAACCTGTAGCCTCCATCCCAGCTGATTCTTTTTCCAGTAAATGTGTTCATAATAAATTTGCAGGGACTTGTGGCTTAGGGGGTAGGAAGAGCGCAGAGAGATTTGAAGAATGTGTGGCCTGATGTTCCCCAGAAACAGAGTACTTCAGAAGAAACCCCACTGCTTCTGTGGGGGGAGGCTCCTTATTCATTGCTTATGGCCTTTGTGCTTGACGTTCTATGCAAAATCAAAACAAACAAATGCAGAAGTAGCAGAACCCAGGATTTCCTAAGCCATTGTTAATGAAAACAGGGAAATTCTTTTTTTTCTTTTTAGTGGGAACCGAAAAACAGAAAATTCTTATTTTAGAAAAAACCTGGTCTTGTGATACACATCTTGCTAGCTTTGGTTTCAACAGCAAGCTTTCTGGTTAATGCCTTGGAGGTGCCCAGAATGTAGATAAACAAGGGGATGATACATGTTACTAAAGTCACATCTGGTTATTAGCAGTGTACCTGCAGTAGAGGTGCAAATAGATACTGGGGCAAATCCTTCCATTTGGATGGCTAAATATGAGTTTCATACATCTGTCTAAATGGTAGGACTTGCACCCATAATTAATTGAGAGTGCAGCTGTTTCTGCACAAAGGAAGGCTGCCCTTTAAAATTGTGGCTCAGTATGGGTGAAATTCTCCTGATCCTGATGATGACCCCTCACTACAAGTCTCCCATAAAGTCAATGGAATTTTTGCCCATGTAGGGAGAGCAACATGTCAGAGATGTTGCTCTGACAGCAGAATTTTGTCCTACAGCAGAATCGTACTCTACACCCCCACTCTGTGGTAAAGTAAGGAAACCACAATTTAACCCTGACTCAAATGCACTCTGGCCAATAGTTTGTGCATATAAAATGGATTTTTAATAGATCTGTACAAAAAATCCAAAAGGCCTTAAGGGGCCTTCAAACCCATTTTAGTTCACTGCAGAATCATTTAAACACTGAAACTGGGATTTCTGCTCCTGGCAATAATGCAAATTTGGGCCAGGTTGGCTAGAATAAAAAATCCAGAATGTAAAATGCAGATTTATCTTTCCTCATTAGAACTTTTTTAGACAAAACACATGAAAACCTCACTACAATGTGTATTGCTTTATAGTGGCTGTCTGATGAACACCCTCAATAGATGCATAAAGCCTGTAAAGAGGGGTGTGTGTATGTGCTCAGGGAATCTCTGCCTTCTGTAAACATTTTTTTCTAATATAAGCAATAAAGCCAGCTGTAGAGTCCCTTCCTTGCCAGCTACAACAGGGCTATCATGTTACTCAAGAACATTTTACACCACCAGGGTGCTAGTAAAATTCCTGCCATCGAAAACCACTGATTTTTGACGTCTTTTGTAATTGAAATAAATCTCATCTAAAAAACCACCTGGTGGCACATTGGATTCAATAGGTGTATAGATAAGAGGGTTAAATGCACTCAAGACAAGATTAAGTCATAACATGACCATCCCTTACAAGTCTTTGTCTAACCTGTTCTTAAAAACCTCCAATGATGGAGATTCCACAACCTCCCTAGGTAATTTGTTCCAGTGCTTAACTACCCTGACAGTAAGATTTTTGTAATGTCCAACCTAAACCTCCCTTGCTGCAATTTAAGCCCATTGCTTCTTGTCCTAGTCTCAGAGATTAAGAAGAACAATTTTTCACCCTCCTCTTTGTAACAACCTTTTATGTACTTGAAAACTGTTATCATGTCCCTCCTCAGTCTTCTCTTCACCAGACTAAACAAACCCATTTTTTTCAATCTTCCTCATAGGTCATGTTTTCTAGACTTTTAATCATTTTTGTTTCTCTCCTCTTGTCAAAGTTCCTTCCCCACTCTGAACTTTAGGGTACAGATGTGGGGACCTGCATGAAAACCTCTAAGCTTAACTACCAGCTTAGATCTGCTTTTGCTGCCACCACCCAAATGATTTATGAGTTATTTGGGAAACTCTGTCTTCCCCCCCAAAACCTTTCCCTCCCTGGGTAGCCTTGAGAGACTCCTCCACCAATTTCCTGGTGAACACCAATCCAAACCCCTTGGATCTTAAAACAAGGACAAATCAATCAGGTTCTTAAAAAGAAGGCTTTTAATTAAAGAAAGAAAGGTAAAAAATCGCCTCTGTAAAATCAGGATGGAAAAAAACTTTACAGGGTAATCAAATTCAAAGAGCCCAGAGGAACCCCCTCTAGCCTTAGGTTCAAAGTTACAGCAAACAGAGGTAAACCCTCTAGCAAAAGGTACATTTACAAGTTGAGAAAACAAAGATAAACCTAACACGCCTTGCCTGGCTGTTACTTACAAGTTTGAAATATGAGAGACTTGTTCAGAAGATTTGGAGAGCCTGGATTGATGTCTGGTCCCTCTCAGTCCCAAGAGCGAACAACCCCCAAAACAACGAGCACAAACAAAAGCCTTCCCCCCACCAAGATTTGAAAGTATCTTGTCCCCTTATTGGTCCTTTGGGTCAGGTGTCAGCCAGGTTACCTGAGCTTCTTAACCCTTTACAGGTAAAAGGATTTTGGAGTCTCTGGCCAGGAGGGATTTTATAGTATTGTACACAGGAGGGCTGTTACCCTTCCCTTTATAGTTATGACACCTCAATACTTTCTCCAGTTTATCCACATCTTTCCTGAAGTGTGGCTCCCAGAACTGGACACAATACTCCAGTTGAGGCCTTATCAGTGTGGAGTAAAGGGGAAGAATTACTTCTCATGTCTTTACAACACTCCTGCTGATAGATCACAGAATTATGCTTGTTTTTTTGCAACAGTGTTACACTGTTGACTCATATATTTAGGTTGTGATCCACTGTGACCCCCAGATCCCTTTCTGCAGTACTCCTTCGTAGGCACTCATTTCCAATTTTGTATATGTGCAATTGATTGTTCCTTGTGGAGTACTTTACATTTGTCCTTATTGAATTTCATCTGATTTATTTCAGACCATTTCTCCATATGGGTTTGTTCAGTGGATCTTCTTAAGATCACTGCACCCCGCCCTCCTCAAGCTCACTTTGTTTGTTGCTGGAGTTTCCTTCTTCTCATTCCTTTGGAGAAGTGAAACTCAGCTTCCAGAAGTGAAACCATGGTATGAGCCTACGTTTCCTTTCTTGTAAAGATGCTAGTTTTCCCTTTTATCCCATAAACATTAATGAGTTAAACCCCACAATCCCCCATGAGGGCAGTGTTTGGCCTCCCCATTATACAAGTGGGGAAACTGAGGCACATGGGGATTGCCTATGGTGAGAGCCGGTGCAAGGATATTTTGCGCCCTAGGTGAAACTTCCACCTTGCGCGCCCCCCCCCCCCGCCCCCCCCGTAACATTGGTTCATTGAGGGACAAATCCCAACAAGCCTTTATAGACCCCAGGGGCCAGCCGTGCCCGGGGGCTGCTCCACAGACCAGGTTCCCCCCTCCACACCCCCTGAACTCCCCTGGAGGGTGCACAGCCCTCCTGTGAGCCCTCCCCACCCCGGCGGCCCCCGCCTCGAGTCCTCTCAGTGGCTTTGCCGGGCTTGGGCCGCTGCAGCAGCTCGGCAGGGAGGAGCTGCCTTCTGGGGCCTCCTGGGGGCTCCTGCAGCAGATGCATGTGGGCAGAGGCCCCTGTGCATCCCCCTGGCTCCCCCCTCACCGCGCTCGGGCTCTGCCGCTCCCGGGAGTGTGAGCCACCGCTGCCCCTCCCGGAGCAGGCTCCAGGGCCCTGTGCCCCGGCGGCGGCTCACATGCCCAGGAGCCGTAGAGCCCGAGCGTGGTGAGGAGGGACCTGAAGGGCGCACAGAGGCCTCTGCCCGCATGCATCTGCTGCGGCCTGCAGGAGCCCCTGGGGCGGACGCCAGGCCGCAGCCTGGGCAGGAGGGGCCGGGGGTGCGGCTGCTCCCCGCTAGCGGCGCCGCCGCCTTTGCAGGGCTCCTGCCCCCCTGCACCGTGCCGGCTCCTCCATGGCTGGGGCTCACCACCCCCGCAAGCCAATGCTCTGGCTCTCTGGTGCCTCCGGAAGGCGGCTTCTCCCTGCCGAGCCAGGGCACCGCTTTTTGGCGCCCCCAGGGCCATCCTTAGGATTTATGGGGCCCTATGCAGTATTATTAGACTGGTGCCCCTATGCCCGACGGCAGCCTGAGCTTGCAGCCCGGCGGGGGCGGAGGGACAAGGCAGAAAGAATAACAAGACGCCCAGCCCGCCTCACGGTGGCGGAGAGTCACAGTTCCCCGCAGAGACCCCTGTACCCTCTCCCTCACGCAGAATGGACATGCAGAAGGTACCTAATTAAAAGCACTAAAATTGGGAATAAAAAAATGTCAGTCACAGGTTTTTTGATATGCCCTGAAGTTTATCAGACATTTATTTGCAAAAACTTTGTAGTAAGGGTGAGTCAGCTGTCTTGCTGAATACGACATTAAATATTATGGAATACATGATGCAGCTCTTCTCTGTTTTACATTTTCTTAATCAGTATTTCTAAGCTGATTTTATATTTTAAATGTACTCTTAAGCCTTCATAAAGTAATCATTCCAGATTACTACATATTTAACTCACTGAAACAGACATTATTTTAAATTAATCAGTCACAGAGGTTTAGTGTGTTCATAACAATGTTCATTGCTTTTAGAAAAAGGGAACACTAATTTACTGTGTGTGATCTCCATAACAATACACATGTTTATGAAATTTCACCAACTTTAAAAAATATGTTTCCAAAGATTTTAGGCATAACAAAGGATTTTATATCTTACTAAGGTACTGATTTTGCTTAAAACTAGTTCATCAGATAGTCAGAAGTAAAGAAAGGGAAACTCTTTGTCCAGCTATCTGGAAGCAAAGGGCTGTTGCTTCCTTCAATTGGGGGGGTAGAGAGGGGGAGAGGAGGTGAAGGGAGAAATGGATGGACAGAAAGGACAGGAAGACTTTGGAAGTAAGTTTTTTTACTATAGTAATTAAAATGTGTATTTCAGATAAGGGTGGTCTTTTGAAGAATTTATTTAAAAACCATATGTCTGAAGATCCAAGCATTTAAGGCTAAAGATGATTGTGCATCTAAAAATCTATGCAAGGATTTTTTAGAGATGTGATTTTATAATCCTCACCAACTCACTAATGAAATATTTTTGAAGCAAATTTTACACTAAGGTCCTGTAGACTGACATGTTCTGAGTAAATATTACAGTCATGCACAACTGTTTTTGTCAGTACATTCAGAAACTGACAGTAGATACCTGGGGGTTGGCAAATGCCTGTTAAATGTCTTCATTACCCCTTGAATGGCTCTTTAACAGTTTCAGTGTTGTGCTAATAGGTCTGGCAGGCTGGAGACTGTTTCTCTTTTAACTACTAGATCCCCTTCCCAGAAAGACTCAGAGCCTGCAGGAAGGGTCAGACCAGGGATAGGAAAACCAGTGGGGTGGACACTAAGACCCAGTGGTGCCCCAAATTTTCAGGTGCCCCACCCAGCTGCCTATGCCTGAGGACGGCCCTGGGCGCCCCCAACAACTTGCCGTCCTAGGCGACTGCCTAGTTCGCCTAGTGGTTGCACTGGCCCTGCCCATGGTGTCACAGGAAGTGTGACATATGACCCAGCAGTAAAACCAATGTCTCCTGACTCCCTGTCCTGTGCCACAACCACAAGACAATAAGCCCCCTGTTAGTACTATGATTAGTTATTTTCATTTTTAATTTTACTTTTGTCTCAGTATCTTTCAATTCTCCTTACGCTTCTCTCACTGACGGGCAGCAGTTCTGCATTCTCGGCAGGTCTGTGTGGAAAATACAGTGGAACTGGGTTAAGAATTGTAACTATTTGACTAGAAGTTCTTCAGGGCAGGATTGCCTTTTATTTTGCACTTAGCACAATGCAGCCTTGACCCTGATTCAAGCCTGTGTGTAGGCACTACCACAATATAAATGATAACTAATGCAGATGAGGATGTTGGGCGTTGGCCTCATGAGCAGATGGCTCTTTAATAAGGCTGGTCTCTTGGGTAGGTTTCACTGTATAAAGTGAATGGGTTTGTGCGTCTTAGCCCCATGGACCCCTGCTGGATAGAACCTATCAAATTTGTATAAAACCTAATGGAGCTTCTCTCTGACTACACTGGATGGTGGTCACTATCTCTAGAATCCACATGAGTTTTACACCTGATATTGCCTGGTAACCAACAGCCTCAGCATGACATGTGTGTGTCATTGCGAGTTGGCCAAACAGAGGCAGGGGGCCTGAGTCTGCTGTACGTCATGCCCATTTACACCAGCGTAACTCCAGCGACACCACTGAAGTTACTCCTGTTTTACATTGATGTATGTGGGAGAAGAATCAGGCCTGTTAGGTCACACCCTTTCCACACACACAGAGCACCTGCAGGCCTGGCCATGAAGAGCAGCTCATGGGCCCTGGCATTGGACCCGCACATGAGGACTAAAGACATCTGAGCCAGCAAATTGCCGGTTCTGTTCTTTTATTGTGATCTTTTGCCCCCTGTAGCAAGTTCCTGCTGATCTCCTAATTGCTTGTTAACTTATTGGGTGACTTTTTTTCCTTTGTATTCTTCTCTAGATCCAGGTTGGAAAATTCAACCAGACGATTGCTATGCTGCACCTTGGGGGAGGCGAGACAGCGATCATAGTCTCCATAGTCATCTGCAGTATCCTGCTGCTTCTGTCTGTCGTAGGTAAGGGAATGGAACATCCCTGAGCCATACTGATCCCTTCAGCTCTGTGGCATTGCCTGCACACATGGAAGTTCAGATGATTTACACTCCCAACTTTATTTTATATGAGGATGGGTCCCACCCCAAGCCCCACATCCAAAAACTCTGAGCTTTGGGGCTGTTTAAAGTCTGAACCCAGATCCAAATTTAGGAAATTTACAACAGGCCAGGACTGAGCCTTGAATCCAAACTCCCCTGAATTGTGGAGTGTCCACAAGCTGTATCTAGAGCTCAGTTTTGTAGTGTGTGAGCCCTTCTTTAATTTTAAAGCCCCTTTCTCTGTCACACAAATTCAAATAAAATATAATAACCGAGGGAAGGAAAAAATGAAAAGAGGTAGAACTCAATCATGGAGACCCTACTAACCATAGTAAAGGATGCATATCCGGAGCAGACACAACAAAGTCTACCAGCCTGGACATCATTCTTGTTGGAAGTTGTTTAAAACAGATCTGTGTCATCTGGCTAATTCATCTTTACATCACATGCCAAGAATGACTGCAGCAAGAAAAACATTGGGTCACTGAAAATGAAGTGTTTCCAATAAGGATTTCATTTATTTTTAATAGAAGTTATTATATACTTTATTTATTAAATAATCTACTGATCATTGGAAACATATTTCTGGAGGCATAAGAGCGCTGAAGGACACACACGTTACAAAACAGGTGTTAAACCTCTTCACACATATTTTCATTAATCAGATGGAATTTATTAACATACAGTAAGTCTGGTAATGTATGTAATGTGCAGGCCTAAATTTAATACGATAGTCGTTGAGTGATCATTTAATTCCAGCTGGTTTGACTTATTTATAGATAATCAGCAGCTGCCTGATCAGATGTGTATTTATTTCATAGTTGTTAAACCAAAAATGAATATTGTTTTTTCTCTGTGTAGATGTACTTTCACAGTGTGTGTTCTGCTGACCTAAACTCCTCTCTACTCCCAGTTTCAATTTCCTACAGTATTCTTCTTCACTTCTGGGCCTAACCTTCTAAGCTTTTCTTCCCCAGGCTTGTTTGTGTTCTGCACTAAGAGCCGCAGGGCAGAGCGCTACTGGCAGAAAACCTTGCTCCAAATGGAGGAGATGGAGTCCCAGATCCGAGAGGAAATCCGCAAAGGTCGGTAACTGCCACTGGGGAAGGAGGAGGAGTTGGGGGCGGGAGTCAGGAGGCAAAGAAGCTCCGCTCCTGGAATTTCCAGATTTATTTGTCTTTTGCCACAAAACTGAAATTGGATTTGTAAGAACCCAGCAGGGGTGTGTACAAGGAAAGGGGCTCCCTTCACCTTATATTCACAGGCACAAAGATAGGGATGCCCAGCCCATTGAGTGATCTGATTGAAACAGCCTCTCTTAGTGCTTTATAATAGTGTTAAAAGCTCGGAGCTACAACCTGAATTTCCGTAGCTTCCTTTCAATCACCTGAGCTGTGTGGGACTTGTGAGCAAAGTGTACTTCTCAGTGGGAGGAAGCATGGCCTAGTAGTTGAAGCACAGACCTGGGAGTCAAGAGATGTAGAGCTAGAGTTCTCAGCTCTGCCACTGTCTTGCTGTGTGGCCTTTGGCAAGGCACTTAATCTCTGTGCCATCCGTTTCTCTAGCTGTAAAGTGGGGATAATGATATGTATGAGATCACATTCATGTTTATAAAATGCTTTATGAGCCTACAGTGCAGGGAGCTACAGAAATGCCGCATGCTACTGCTTGGAGAAACAGTGGACAAGAGCTTCAGGCGCCTTCACTTATTGTCTTCTCAGTCTGACTCTCCATAGAATACGTTGGAACCCTTGTGCTATAGACCAAACCCTGCAGAGCCTGTGTTTTGGAGGTAGTGGGAGTCTCGCCTGAGTAAGAACTGCAGGGTTTGGTGCACAATGCTGACAGCTAAGCCCCATATACAGTTCATTGCCTCCCAGGGAAAGGGGTATGAGGAGGCAGAGTTGATGAGTATATTGTATGCCAATGCCAGGCTTGTCACTCAGCTGCCCTGGCTGTTAGATTATTTCAGCCCTTTCAGTTTGTGGGTCTCTTTGGATCAGGTTTTGCTGAGCTTCAGACTGACATGACAGACCTGACCAAGGAGTTAAACCGCAGCCAGGGGATCCCGTTCCTGGAGTACAAGCACTTTGTGACACGGACATTCTTCCCCAAAGTAAGACAATCCCACATTTCATACACACCTAATCACTCAAATTCCTTCTCAACTAAATCATGGCTCTGCCTTCTCCCAGTAAAGGCTTACAGTATAACACAGTTATTCAGCTGCTATCATTTATTTCAGCCTTAATTATCATAATAACCGTAGCCACAGCACCTCGGGCTATGAAACAGGGTCAGGCCTCGTCAGTACTTGGATGGGACCCTCGCTTTGGTGAGACACTCCCCTCTGAGTCAACACTGAACCAGTGCACCAGCTTGGCGTAACTGGGCGCCGCCGTGCTGCTGCAGGTGCTGTCTCTAAGATGAGAAGCAAAACCAGAGTCCTCCTTAGCTGTGCGGTTTGAGACACCCCTACTGGTTCCAGTTGCACCCCACTGTGCCAGGTGGGACTAACTGAGCCCAGGCGTGGTCTCACTCGCAGGGGAAGAGACTGAGGTGGTGTCCCACTATCATTCCGCCTGGGGAGGGTCCTCCAGAGGATGTGGACAACTTGTTTCACTGAGATGCCCCTCTGGGCACAAGCAGATAGTGCTCACTGGCCTTAAAATTCCCTTGGCACTTTTTCACAGGTGCAAAAACAATATCCCCAGTGTCCTGGCCCAGTGCCAGTCTGCGTATCTAAATCCCCCCCTCCAGTTTCACACCAGACACGATGCAATCCTTACTTCCAGTCATCAGCTGCTGTGGAGTGTTGCTGTGCACTGTTAAGTGGCAGCCATATTTCAACCCAGAAGTAATTACATTTCAGTGGCGGAGAGTGAAATGATGATTTTTGTTTGCAAAGGGGTTTGTAGCTAATTACTATTCATGTTTCTAAGATGTCCACCCCTGTGTGTATCTGGGCACTACACTCTTTCGGAGGTAGGCTGCTATATGAATGTAAGATATTTCAGTATCTTTCCATTCTGCTTCAAAAGTTACATATGTTTAACACCCCATAGTGCTCTACCTGGACTTATTCCCCCATAATTCTTTCTCTACCAAGATTCTGTAGATGTCATATTAGTCTGTTCATAATCTCCTTATTGTAACAATCTTGTTCTGCTAAGACATCTGCCTACCCCGACTGGTGTCTGTTCATTCACAAGGCTCTGGCCAACTGTTTAAAGGCTCTATTAAAACATACCAAAGTGTTCCTTCCTGATGGGTGGCCTCACGTCCTGATGACATTCCTGTTCATGTCTCAAACAATGTTGCCCTCTCTGAGTGTGGTGAAGAATCTGATCTTGCTTACCCGTTTCTCCGCATGGCTCTGTTTTATTGCAGTGTTCCTCGCTCTATGAGGAGCGTTACGTTCTGCCTTCCCAGCAGCTCAACTCACAGGTTGGGTGTCAGGTCCAAGAAACTCATCCCTTGCTGTCAGGAGAATGGAAAGTGAGTAGCCCAGAGATAAACAACTGCTATTAACTGTCACTAACAATAGTCTTATTTTTTTATATCAAAGCTAGTGAATAACAGATTTTTCGGTGTGCTGGTGATTCCAGTAAAGGGGGAGGGGGTGGGAATTTCAGGTCACACTGAAAACAATTTTTTTTTTTTTGAAATTTTCAGCTAATAGAAAAGTCAAGAAAAAAATTCATTTTGGGTCAAACAAAAAGTTTTGCTCGACTCAAAATGAAACGTTTTGTTTTGATTTTGAGCTTACTTTTACTTTTTATAATTTTTAAAAAAATAAAGTTAAAGGAAATTTTTAAACAAACAGTCATTTTGAATACAAAATCTAAATATTTTGTTTTGTAAATGTCAAACCAAAACGTTTCAAATTTTTCAGAATTTGATTTTCATTGTTTTTCCGACCTAAACAATTCTGCGAAATCAACCCGAATTCATCAAATGTTTTGGTGTCACCAAATTTGCATTTTTTGCCTCCCAAAAAGTTTCAGTTGAAAAATTTCACTCAGCTCGAGCTGACGTCCTTTTTTGTGATGCTTAAAAGGAGGTTTGCGTATGCCAAACAGCCAGAAAAACAAGGCGTGTATCAGCTGATCAACTTTTGCTGATGATAGGAGACAAGAGCTGCTGAACTTCTGCTCCATGGCTGCAGAATCACAGCTGACAAGATCCATCCCTAGGCTTTCCTAATTGGAGGTTTGCCATATTTTCCCAATGTCAGTCTACAGTCTCTTTGTAAATGAGTTTGAGAGCGACTCCCGCAGGCCCAGATGTAAGTGCAGTTGCTGCACATTCCCCCACAGTCAATTCTTATCTGGATAAGAAACATACATCAGACGGGGCTCAAGGAGAGGGAACTCCAGCCTACTGTTTTTACACTTGCCAGGCACATCAGAGTGTGTCAGATAAGATAAAGGTTGAAAAAGCAATGAACTGTGGCTTTCTCACCCAAGTCCCCACTCTTTCTTTAGATTCCTGAAAATTGCAGGCCCAACATGGAAGAAGGAATTGCGTTATTCTCCACCCTGCTCAACAACAAGCACTTCCTCATCGTATTCGTCCATGCTCTCGAGCAGCAGAAGGACTTTGCTGTTAGAGACAGGTAAGAACTTCCTGGGGCAAGGGCAGCATTGAAAGAGTCATTGACAGCCAGCCCTGGAGACTGAAGTCCTCTGTGTACCCACAGAGCAGGTGTGCTACAGCAGCGCCTGCCTAACCCTGACCCAGAAGAAGCACTTCCAGGCTCAGAGGGAAGTTCAGGCTCCACGGTGTCCCTGGCTTATCTGCTGCGACTACCAGAGAGGGTACCAGTTAGTGGCAGTTTTGGGATATGGACACCTGTCCTACCAGGAACTTAACAGAGATCTATGAACACATTTCACATAGGCCACTACGCACAGGTTTTTGCCGCTGCTGACCTAGGCTATACAACCTGGGAGATGAAAGGTTCTGTAGCCTGTTGCCAAACCCAAAACCATCTGGTCTCTGTAGTTACACCAGAGTTACAAACTGACCAGTCAGCCACATACCTCATTTGGAACCAGAAGTACACAATCAGGCAACAGCAGAGTCTAAAAAAAAAATAAAGCAAATACAGTACAGTACTGTATTAAACATAAACAACTAAAAACATAAAGGGAAAGCACCATTTTTCTTCTATATATTAAAGTTTCAAAGCTGTATTAAGTCAATGTTCAGTTGTAAACTTTTGAAAGAACAACCATTACATTTTGGTCAGAGTTACGAACATTTCAGAGTTACAAACAACCTTCATTCCCGAGGAGTTCGTAACTCTGAAGTTCTACTGTAGAACTGCACTGTTATACAGGGGAGCGCCAAAAAGTACAGTGGTTAGTTTAGTCTTGTATGATTTGCATCTCATACCACTAGAGAGTGGCATGATCCAACATGAGAACCAGTAGAATTGGAAGAGTTTGAAACTTCAACGCACTTGAGAGGTGTCATGAAAAAGATCTGGTATATTGCCATGGCCTTGAGTTCTTTTGATGCCAATTGACTGTATTGTCTTGTATAATCAAACCTAGGATCATTTATAACTCTTTTCTCAGGTGTAACTTGGCCTCCTTGCTCACTATTGCATTACATGGAAAACTGGAGTACTACACCAGCATCATGAAGGACCTGTTGGTGGATCTCATAGATGCTTCAGCTTCCAAAAACCCTAAGCTTATGCTGAGGAGGACCGAGTCTGTGGTGGAAAAGATGCTCACCAACTGGATGTCCATCTGCATGTACAGCTTTCTCAGAGTAAGAGAAATAAGTATGGATGCTGTTCTAGCTATGAATAGCCCATCTGAGTGTAATATGGGAGACACAGGTCAGCTGGTGATCGCTGTCTACGAGATTGGTTAAACCAAGTCATCTCAATGACTAGTCACTTGCAATGGGTGAACCTCAATAGACTCCAAGGTTCAGTGTGAACAGGCAGCCAAAAGTTCCACTGTTTCTCCACTTTTATCTCTGTCTCTGGGCTGGGAATCTCATGAGATCAAATGTTACCTTGAGCTTTCTGGTATGGCTTAGTTTTTCAGGGCCAGAATCACCAGTGGAACAGTTTTTTCACCATACATTGGAAAGGTGTGGAGCAGTCATGAGGGAATAATTTTTTTAAAAAAAGCTAGTTTGCCAAAATGGTTTGAGTTTTTGACAGAAGTTCCAGTCAATTCTTATTTTCTTTGAGCCAGTTTGCACAGCCCCATCAATCACTCTTTGATGGTTCAGTGCCTGTCCGTTTTGAATACAAGGGCACAGAGTACTGAGGAGAAGCCTGTAACACATAAGGAGAAACATTGTTGAATTGCTTGTTGATATTCTTAAGCCCAAAGTGTATTTACCATTCTGAATCTGTCAAACAGAGCCTGTCCTGAGAGGCAGGAGAGGGTGGAGACTTGGATTTCCATCCCTGAAAGCGTTCTCCTCTTCCTGTTGTTAAGGATCTACCCATTGTAATATAAAAAGAACATAACTTCAATATCAGAACACACCAGTGGTCCCTGTGCTCCATGTTCTATCTTCAACACTTGCCAATTTCTGATGCTTCAGCGGCAGGATTTTCAGAAGAACTGAGCAATAACCTAACTCTGATCACAGGGAAGTAAATGGGACCTTGACTTCAGTGGGAGTAGAGTTAGGCCAATAACTACGGGTTTTTGAAAAGCACCCCCCAGATTTCCTCCAATTGTATAGTAATTATAATTACTGTGTTCACCATGGGATCAGTACTATAATATTCCCATGCGTACCATAATTTATTTCAGTCCCAGCTGATGATCATTTTATGTCCTGGAGTCTCCAGGAATTAAAGATTAATCTTTAATTAAAGCTTATGTCATGTGATGAAACCTCCAGGAATACATCCAACCTAAATTGGCACCCTACCTGAAGCCTGAGGATTGATAGTCCACATAATTGCAATCAGAAAAAGTACTGGAATTAATAGGGATGGCAGTGCATCAAGATGAGATTATTCCCCTGAAAATCTGTTTTGGTAGCCCAAGAAGTGCTCTTTAGCCAAGACCATGGGAACATTAGTAACTCCCAACTAGAGAGGCACCAAAGATGAGAAGGTTAGATCCAGCTCCAGATCTGAACCTCACCAAAATTCCGGGGTGTTTGGCTCTGAGATTTCAGTTCAGTTACTCAGATTTCATAATATTGTTAATTGAGACCATTCCTTGTTCATTTCCAAGAGGCTTCAACCCAAACTGCAAATTTGCTGGACTAATTTTTCAACAGTCCAATTTTTGCATCCACAGAGAAGAAGAAACATAGCCTTCTGCATACACACTGCATCTGTCCATGCAAATTGGCTCGATGGCTAAATACTGGATTTCCATATACACCGCTACCTCGATATAACACTGTCCTCAGGAGCCAAAAAATCTTACCACGTTATAGGTGAAATCGTGTTATATCGAACTTGCTTTGATCCACCGGAGTGCGCAGGCCCCCCCTCCCCCCCGGAGCACTGCTTTACCGCGTTATATCCAAATTTGTGTTATATCGGGTCGCGTTATATAGGGGTAGCGGTGTACAATTGCTGCCTGCATGAACAAGCCAGGAATTTTGACCACACAAACTTTAGCAATGAAAAACTGTGCCTGCAATTTTGTAGTTTGCTTTTGAAAACTTGTCCTAGATAGATTTCTAACATAGTTCAGTATATGTAAAATATATTGTTGATGATGATCTCACGTACTTGGATGTAAATCAGAAGTTACTCTACTGAAGTCAATGAAGTTACACTGGTGTCATACTGATGATTCAGACCCATTGTGTAGTTACCTATATATCGAGTATCATCATCAATTGTGTATTATTTTAAATTAGAGAGGCTCAATGTACAGAATCCAAAGCTGTATCTGGACCAGATTTCAGGGGTTGTTGAGATATAGGTCCAGGCCTATCTCTGTTTATCAAACAATTAAATATATACAGTACCTACTGGCCACTAGGAAATAATTTAGAACAGCTCTTTTAGGGTTATCATCCGTCCGTATTTCCCCGGACATGTCTGGCTTTTGCGTCTCTAAATAGCCGTCCGGGAGGAATTGGTAACAAGGTTAAAATGTCCGGGGTTTTTTTCTCCCTCGCCTCCCTCCCTCCCTTCCATGCAGAGTGCGGTTGCTGATTGGGCGGCTGGGCTGACTGACCCACTCCCATTGGCTTCCAGCAGCCAGAGCCCTCCCCTGCTCCCCCCTCCCTCTGTCTGAGGCCCTGTGTAACACACAAACCGACCCACCAGGCAGCGTGTTTTGCAAACACGTGGAGCCAGAATGGTAAGGGGAGGGGGCAGTCAGGGAGCGGGGGAGTGTTGGATGGGTCCCTGGCCTCCACCTGCCACCCCCCCTCCGCGCATCCCCCCCCCCGCCTCTCCCTTGTCTGCTTGTACTGCCAGAGCCAGCAGCAACTGCTGTCTGCTGCCCCCAGGTCCTAGTGCCCCCATCCACTAATGGGAAGACAGGCTGCCCTTACCCTGCCCTTCCACCCTAGCCCTGAGCCTCTCGAACGCCGCAAACCCCTCAGCCCCAGCCCTCATCCCCCCACACCCTAATCGTCTGCTCCATCCCTGAGCCCCCTCCTGCATCATGAACCCCTCATCCTCAGACCCACAGCCCTCACCCCTGCATCCCCTCCTAACCCCAAACTCCCTCCCAAACCCCCTCCCCCCTTCCCACACACCCCCTCCTGCCCTCAAACTCCCTCCCAAAGCCTGCACCCCCTCCCTTTGCACCGCCTCCCACCCCCAAACTCCATCCCAGAGCCTGCACCCCTCACTCCCTCCTGCACACCCACCCCCTGCCCCAGCCCGGAGCCTGCACCCAAACTCTATCCCAGAACCTGCATCCTGCACCCCTCCTGCACCCTAATCCCCAGCCCAGGACCTGCACCCCAGACCTCCTCCCCCCACTCAACCCCTCTCCCAGAGCCTTAGGCAGGTGGGGGGGGAGTGGGTTCTGGGCACCACCAAAATTTCTACAACCCTGCCACCCATGCGAGTGGATAAGGGTCGGGGCAGTCAGGGGACAGGTGGGGTCCTGGGGGGGCAGTTAGGGTGGGGGGTTCTCAGCAGGGGGCAGTCAGGGGACAAGAAACAGGGGGGGTTGGGGTTCTGAGGGGGGCAGTCAGGGGGTGGGAAGTGGGAGGGAGTGGATGGGGGTGGGGCGGGACAGGGGCGGGGCTAGGGCGGGGCTTCCCCCCACCCAGTGTCCTCTTTTTTGATTGTGGAAATATGGTAACCCTAAGCTCTTTCATTTGCTGAATTTTGGCCTCTTTTTCTGTTCACGAAATCCCTGTGAACAAATTGCTCATTTCTCAGATTTATTTGCCATTCAGTGTTATGTAATGACTTTTTCCCCATATTTCTTTACACTGTAGCTTGCTATTCATAATTCAAGCTCATGCTTAGTTGGGGTTGGTCAAATAAATCAGATAGTATTGTTTCTGATCGCTGATGGATAAGCTCTTAGTTGATCCATTGGGTTATTGATGTGAATTATCCACAGGAAGCAAATCCAACCTGTGCTCAGGCTATTAAAACTCAACGGCACAAATGTTTTCAAAAAGTGAACACTAAAGGAGCAGAAAAAAGACCAATATGAATTTGTTTAAAATGCCAAACGAGTTTGAAAGACATACCCAGGATGTGAAATATATCACTAATTTAAGGAAATTCAAACTATACCTGTGATTGGTGATGGAAGTCCAGGAATTGTAAAGTGCAAACATTTAGGTTTTTGGTTTTGTGCATATAGTTAAACCATATGCAAAAAATTACTGATCTCTCCTTTTGGAGAGTGAAGACCACATGTGAGACTAAGAAAATGTGCTGGTGTCTGATACAACCCAGAGCAACTGCCTAATTTCTGCTGGAAATGGACATTGTGCAAGACAGCTTTCTCAGAAAAAAGCTGAGTTTTATCATATGGGACTTGGGTCTTGGATGGCTTACAAAGGAAATTAAAAGTGCTTGCGGTTCTTAAGTGGCTATGTGTCTGGTACAAATGGTGAGAGAGCTACCAATTGGCACCCGTACGAATTGAGACTACTGATCACACCTTCTGCTCATCAAATTGGACTGGAGGCTTATCTCGAAGATAGGGCTTGGTCCACGGATCCAGCTCTTTGTAATAGGAGAGAGAGCCACAGATTGTGATTCATAGATGTTAATATAAAACACGAAGCTGGCTTGTAAATGATTTGTTCCTTCCATCTGCACCCTGGCTTTATCCCAATACAGAGGAAGATAAAAGACAGATGTTATCAGTAGAAACTTATACTGAATGAGGACTGTGATAATGCTATAATTGTGTGGAGCTCTGGGGAGAAGACCTGACCTGGTGGAGTTTGGGGCAAACCTGCAGATAGCAAGAAACTGAAGAGCGAGCTGCTTTGGCTGAAATGGGATGGAACCACCTCATCTGCCCAATTGCCATCCTTTAGCTGCAGTATAGCTCTTGGCTATTGGGCAGATGAAGAGGAAGAAAGGCTAGCAAGCCACTGATGCTGTCCAGTCCCTTTACATGTACTATTTAGCAATATAAATGTGAAGGGTAGCTTCCATTGGCTTCAGCTGAATTTGTGGATGCTCAGCACATCTGAAAAACGGGCAAACCATCTAAGTAGTTATCACAGTTGCTGTAAATTGTATCTGTCTGGGTGATTAACACCTAAGTGTGACATCTCATTAAAAATGTGGCCCCTCCAGCCACACAGTGCCCTTACCCCACACTGTGGCAGCAACTCTG